AAGAGTTGTCTGGATAGCTGCATCCAGAGGGTAGAGATCAATGGCTCAGAGTTCCCAATGTGTTTGAAAACAAATTTGCAAAATTGCTTGTGAGGCCTAAGCCTAAATATATTCTGAGTCTTTCTTTACTTTAGGACTTCAAGGCTGAACATTGGTGGACAGTAACATTCTTTCTCAGAAAGGCATCAATATGCTTTAAAATCCTATGAAACAATGTAAACACATAATTTAAATGTAGCCATAAGCACGCACTCGGCTAGCATTCAAACAGATAATGCTAATCAGGGATGTCAGCAGGACTGCGTGGCCTCCATACACCAGATATCTGGTGCGTGCCACTCGCTATCTTCTGCAGGGCTGCTTCTCTCTGCTGCCCAGATTCCTGAGCAGACTGCATCCACTGGTAAAAATAACCCAGAAGGAAAGAAGGGAGGGAATTAAAGGACACTTTAAACTTTCTGGACAGAATACTGTCAGCTCGTTTCTGTCTGCTCCATTTGTCTTGAAAGTGACTGACAGAAAAGCAGACTGCATGAACACCTGTTGAAAGTGTGTCTTTTTGACAGTGATTAGTCTGCTGAGGAGGTGATTCATTAATGTGATCTCCGACTTATGAAAAGCTGATGGTTAGTGTTTTGGGATGTACTCCAGTTTTGAATACACTCTCTGTATCTTAAGTTTCTGCTGGTGTGCCAAGTGGTTTGACTAGCAGTGCCTGCCAACAGGGAAAACCTGCTGGATTTACACATGGGATTCAGAGAATCTTGAATACAGGTATTCAAGAGCCTGAAACAAAGATTTTGCCTAAATTTAAAACCTGGAGTTAATTTGCATAAAAGCATACAACTTGTGTATGAATAGATTTGGGTTAATTAAAAATAATGATAAATGAGATTATCAAGGTGTCCAATGGAAAATGCCTACATGTACTCAGAAAATTGTTCTTAACTGAAATTTGATGAATGAATTAAAATATACATATATCTCCCCACCTCCCTACTGAATTGGCTAAGCCGTAGTCTTCCCAGGATTTAGAAAGTGAAGCAAACCCTTGTGTCTCTTTCCCCTTGCTTTTGTTTTGAATCTTAAAGCTGAGGTTTATTTGTCTAACATGTTATTGTTGTGTTTTCAAGCTGTTCTTTTTGTCTGAGGTCTAAGTATTTAGTTGTTTTGTAGCTTTTAATAGGAATGTTTTTAAAAGCAAAGACAAATCTGAGCAGAATTTTTTAATTGATAGAGAATATTTCAAAAGTTTTTGTCATACCTTGGTATATGAAAGTATATAAACAATCTAGGAGTTTATTCTTAGTTCAGTACTGAGTGACATATACCTACATCATTGACTGTATTTTTATAATGATCTACTCACTCAATTCAAATGTGGATTCTCCAGGAAGTGGAACACAACCCAATATTTACTCTAATACAAGAAAAGGAGTTCAAAAATGGAGACAACACAACTCTCCTCTCCTTGAAAACTGTTATTTAATGTGTCCCCTATTGTAGCTGGGCAGAAATGGAAGTGGTATTCAAAAAAACCCTCCAAACCTATTTTAAACAAAAACCATCCCACAAAGTAATCTAACAGCAAACAACAGGATTTCCATGCCAGAGGAGAACTGGTGCAACCTGTAATTGCAACAGTAAGTGCTAAACGCTTTCAGAAGACAGAGAACATTCAGATACAAACTGTTTGTTTGAGTCTTAGCTTCCACAGGGAAGCAATCAGGCAAAAGATCAAGGTGTCTCTAACTGGCTGCAGTAATTCCTGCTTGTAAACATTAATCAGTGATTTAGCAGTGTGATCTTGCATGGTACTTTGGCAGGCACAAAGTGAAAATACAGCATGTCATGAGCCTATCTAATGCTGCAGGCATAATATTGATCATAACTTGGTACAGAATAACAGAAACAGACGGCCAGGATGGTACAAATATTTTTGATCTACTGTAGCACACAAAAGCCTTTAACTAATAATTTTCTTGTCTTGCTCCAATTAAATTTCTAGAATTGGGAGCTTTGCCATCAGCTTCACTGAATTATCATCATATTATAGTGACTTATGATATCTCATGTTCAGAATCATAGTCCTCTTAAAGACACAAAGATTTTAAAGAGTTCTTGCACACTGTGAATTAAGATATGCTGTGTTGCTCATTTTGCTGCAGTTCTGTAAATACTCAAAGTAGATTATTATCTACTAATATAGTAGATATACTAATTTTATCTATTGAAGTATGGATCTATTAGTAGATCTACTAATATTATCTATTCTAAGGAACAATTCAGCATAGTAGCTTCACCTTAATATTTAAAACCCACATCCTCTTTATTCAACGTGTCTTCCTACCCTCTTCACTATAGAAGAAGCCTAGATAGAAGCCTAGATATCCAGCTCCATAAATATATTTGAACACTCATCTCCCTTCTCTTCCCATTTTTAATTCTTTCATGTATACACCACTCTCTCTTTTTTTCTCTTCTTCCGCTTACATAACGATGTTGTTTTGTAAAATAAACATGATTAAGGTCAAGACATGGCTACTTAAGAAGGGAAAAAATGGGAACTTCCACTACCACGTTAAAATATGCATCTTGAAAATGTTGCAAATTAATATACGATTTTGGTAACTTAATATACATTAAAGATAATGATACCCTGGATTCTCATCACTAAGTAATCATTTATTTGACACTTGTACTTAAGTATGCTCTTACTTTCACTTGTGCCAGACATGTTTTACCATTCAGTACCTTGAACTAGTTGTCAATCACCTAACAATGTGATTTTTGCAACATAAATGTTATAATTTACCAGTAATACATTTACAATCTTGATTTTTATTAATTCCTGGACTCTGGGAAAAGGTCTTTAGATATTACCTACATACTATTTTTAAATACTTTAACAGTCCTTTATTTGTGATGATTCATTGGAAGATTTAGCCAACATTGGCATTCCAACCTTATTCCAACCTCATGAAAACATTTCTGTCCTGAAAAACAACTCAATATATAAGGCTGTGGAATATATTTGAGACTTTTTTTTGTTTTGCAATAAAAAAAATTATTGAAACAAACTTTGATTCTTTGGAACAGTTTCTCACAGAACACTGAAGATCAAATTTAGATCTTACCAATTTTCTTCCTGGTTTAGCCATGTAAGTCTATAATACTCCCTAACTTTTCTGTCGTAAGGAAACTGCATAAGTAATACAGAAATTCCATTTTCCTAGGTTTAGAGTGAAGTTTCTGTTCACTGTTTTGTTAATCAATGAACAAATAACAACATCATGCCACAATATTTTTTAAAGATTTTGAAATGTCTTACAAAGAACAACATCATTTACGTATAAACACATAGCATCTAGTTTGGCTGAACTCTGTATGTTATATTTTGCAGCTGGCTCCAGGATAAGGCTCTGTATAACCCAGACAATGTTATGTTGGTCTATAAACCAAAGTGGAACACTTATATAAAGAAACACATTTGTTAACTTTAATATCGAGACTTTATCATGCTGGCCTTCAAACAGTGAGCCTTCAAGGGTAGCAATGACATTCTTTCTTCCATTAGCCATTTTTCTCACAGACTTGTTTCAAGAAAGAACAGTTTCTCAAAATAGACAAACCAGGCTCTATTTTGAGGAAGGGAAAATCTTCCTTTGAAATGCTGTTTTTTGTTAAGCTAGTTTATTCTTCATGCTCTAATGGAGGAGGGAAAAGCCTGGTTAGGACATTGTTGGTTTAGAAACAAGTTTTGCAAAGTCTCATTTTAACACTTCTGTTTCTGTATTCCTAAGACGGAGCCTGATCCCTCACGGATGTAAATCAGTGCAAGAGCCCACCCATCTTTCTTGTTTACACTGGTGGAGGATCTTGCCCGGTTCCCCTACAATTCCTGCAGCCTGACATTTGAATGGAACTGCAATTAGCAGGGTTGTTTTCGTTTAACTTTATTTAGCACCTTATCTCCTGTAACATTCTTGTCCGGGTACCAGTATCAACCATGAACTCAACATAGCTCTTACTAGTGCTGTTCTATTTTGAGTTGAAAGAAAAAAACCTGTCAGTCCAGATCAAAGAGCACCTTCCCTTTCACTCTGGGAGTAGAAATTGTTAACTAACTAATTGGTGCAAAAGGCCATGGCAAATCGATTCACACCACACTTACAGTAGTCTAACTAACTCCACCACACGGGAAAGTTATCCAGGCCCTCAGAATGACCTGTTCTCCATGGCCAAACATATGCAGCTTTCCACAAAAACCAAAATAGCTGCTGGTGAGAGACCCAAATTGTAGAGGATACAGTTCTGCAGGACTGTGTTTGCTGTGTTCTAGTTTTCCCTGTTCTACAGCTATTCACGCCTTTTGGTTACAATATCACAAAGAACTGCAAGACCTGTGGTTTGGGCTCATAGTTCCTGTTGCTCATTTTATAAAGAGCCTCCAGGAGGATTCCGACTCTGGCAGAGCTCTGCTGCTCCCAGGTGCTGAAATTCTGCAAAAAGGAGTGAGGAGCAGCAGGTCCAGAAGGTTTTGAAGGTCCTAAATCTGAAGTAAGGGGCTGTAGCCCAGAATCTCAAGCCACCCAATGCCACAGTTCTGGGAATCACCGGAGTGCCTGGGAAGGCAGGAAGGTCTGCTGGGCTCCTGTGTTGCCGGAAGGCTGCTCCCTGTCTCTGCCCTGGCAGCTCCTCACCCAGGTGAGAGACCACCTCCTCGCAGCCATAGCGGTGACAGGGCACGGGTGATACAGGCGAAGGGCAGCAATGAGGACAGTGACACTTCAGAGCACGGCACGGAGAAATGGTCCAGGCGCCTCCCGGGGCTGCCGCCGGTGCCGGCCAGGGCGAGCGGGCACCGCCCCGGGACAGCGCCGGGCCCGCCCCCGCTTCCCCGCACCTTTCCCGGCGGAGCCGCCCCTCGGGGGCCGGGCCAGCGGTGTCGGTGGCGGGACGGGGGGCCCGGCGCTGCCCGCAGCTGCCGGGGCACAGCCATGTCCTCCAGCTCCCCGCCGGGCGAGCCCAAGAGCCGCAGCCTGGGCCGGCTGTCGCTGCCCAGGAGAGGCAGCATGACGCCCGGCAAGAAGGCGGCGGCGCTGGAGCTGGCCGAGAGCGCCCCGAACGCCCACTACGCCCCGCTCGGGGCCGCGCAGGGCGGGCAGGCGGAAACGGGATGCGGCCCCGAGCGGGAGCGGGAGCGGGCACCGCGGCTGCGGAGCGAGGTGGTGGTGGTGAGCGCCGACTGCCCGCGGCCCCCCGTCAGCCTGGACCCCCGCGTCTCCATCTACAGCCTCCGCAAGCCCCTGCTGAGCCGCAGCAGCGTCCAGGGCAGGGTTTACAACTTCTTGGAACGGCCCACGGGATGGAAGTGCTTCGTGTACCATTTCACCGTGTGAGTACCGCCCCGCTGCCGCCGGGCACCTGCTCCGCGCTCCCGTTAGCGCCGCTGGAGCGCTGCCCCGTCCGTGCTGGGGGCTCCGGGGCCGCCCTCAGCCGCTCCCCGAGGGGCCGCTGCCGCCGAGCCCCCTCCCCGCAGGGTGCGCGTCCTCTCCCCGCAGGCGCCTCAGGAACCGGAGCCGTCCAGACCAGCCCGGTGCTCCGGGCTGGAACATCGTGCAGATACGGTCTTTTGGGCTGTGGGCGGTTTGGGTTTTTTTTTGTTGTTATTTTTGGGTTTTTGTTTTTTTTTTTTTTTCCCCGCATGTGTGAAGTAAAACAAAAGTCACCCTCTGGGGGAAAGTTTGCCTTTTAGTTAAGAGAAATGCTGTTTCTCAGTGCAGGAGCTGGTTTCAGGCAATTTTCTTCAGAAGGCTACCCAGGGAGTTGGAATAAATTGTCCACACTGAACGTGGAAATGAAGTAGGTAGCAGTGCCACTCATTCTTTATTAATTTTTGATGTATGGCTCCTGATTTCAAGCAGCGACACCTGTGTGATACCGATGCTCACTGCATAGCAGCAGTTTCTAATTGAACAGGTGCTATCAACTATCAGCGCTGCAGTCTTAGAGGAGGATGAGAAACTCCTTTTCCTTGTCTCTTCTATTGCCCCTGGCTCGAACTTGTGCTATCCATTATGACAGGAAGGAGGTGGTGTTTGGAGGGTGCTGTTTAACTGCAGGTGGCTTGAAAATTGCTTTGTCTGTAGAGTTCAGTGTCAAACCCAGGTCAGCAGGTGTTAGGTCTGTGGTGCCCAGGCATCCCAACAGGTGCCTCCATGAGGAATCAGAGCTTTTCCATCGAGGTGTTGCTGAAGGCTTGTGTGACCCTTGGGCAATCGGCGTGTGTTAAATGTAGGTAAGAAGGTCAGGTAGGAATGTGGTGTGTGTTTGTTGTACTCATGCACAAACATGTATACATACATATATATATATATATATCCATTACATGTATACGTGTTTATTCCAACCGCTAGAGGGAAGGTAATCTGTGGTCAAAATCCTATGACAAAAGACACCAAAGTCAGTTCTTATGACTTTGTTATTGTATTCTAAGTTCTATTTCTAACTAACTGCTATCTAAAGTCAGTTCAGATTTTGTGCTTCTGTTCCACTCTTGAGGATTCTGGAGTGTTTAGGTCAACAGGTGAAGTGGTACCAACCTTATTTTAATGGAGGGGAAACAGTTGTCATCTGAGTGTATGTAATTGGGAGATGACTGGGTACAACTGCTGAGATAATTGTGGGCTTCGTTCTCCTTAGTGTTATGATAATGCCATGCGATGAGAAAATGAGTAATGGCCATAATTATGAAGTGCCTAATAGTTGTGGTTGAACAATGTAAAACACTTTTGGGAATTGGAGCTCCCCCCCAAAAGAGAGATTTTTAGGTAGCCATCTTTTATGCTTTTTGATCTTTAAGGTATCTCAGATTATGTTTAGGTGGCGCAGTAAACTATGTTCAATATCTTAACTAATCTCTAAATCTTAACAGCAAGTCTAGGAAAACTCTGAAAAAACAAAAATCAAGGTTACGTGCCTCTACTTAAGGTTCTAGCCTGAATATTTTGGGTTTTTTTTGCAGGTATTAGCACTGTGGATTAATTCTGTCAGTGTAAGAATGAAGATTCTGTAATATGTGTAAGTCATTACCTGTCTCCCCCCCAGCACACACCCATGGTGTAAGCATTAGTCCCAGCATTTCCCCTCTTTCCAGAACTCTTCTGATGCAATGACAAATGACAGTAAATATTCTCAAGACTCTTACCAAGCATTGTTCATATTCCTTAGGGCACTGAAGAGACAGAAGAGGGTACTGACACCTTTGTATCTTTCTCACAAGGCAGTCGTGCAAGTACCATTAAGGCAGTCTCACTCTGATTCTCACCAGCAAAGAGATTTGAGGCTTTTCTGTTCTTAGCCCAACTCCTCCTTTTTTTTTTTTTATTTTATTTTTTTGTAGCAAATAAGCTTTTTGTGCCCATTAAATCATGGTTTAAGTTACTAGTCTTTGGTCCATACTTCTCCATCTCTTTTTGAGCTCCCCAAGCAACTTTCTGCTGTGCCAAGGAATGCTCTGTTTGGAGTACAGTCCCTGCCAGCCAGGTGCTGAGTATTGGCAGATGAATAGTTGCTACAGAGCAGAAGTGTGTTGCTAAAATTAGCTGATGAGGCAGATTTGTCTGGTTCAGAGAAGCTGTCGTGTCCCAGCGTCTCCTCGGAACCTGCTTTGTGCAGACAGCTGGGTACAGGGGATGAGGTGCAGAGCTGGAAAGGACTTGGAGTCATGACACACACACAGAGGCGTGCATGTGCTCCTTTCCCACTGGAGGAAGTACTTGATTGTTCCATTGTCAGCATACAAACAGTCATTCATAGAATGCTAAGCTGGGTTTTACCTTGGGGTGTGCAAGAACTCTGGTGTTTGTCTTTCCTGCCCAAATGAGTTTAAGAAGCTGAACTCATTTTGCCTGTTGTCTTTTTGACTCCCTCTGCAGTCTGCCTCCTGCTTTATTCCAGGGGTTTTCAGCTGCCTGGGAGGTCTCGCTTGCTGTCCTAAATGTTTAGACAGGGAAGGAAAGGAAACGGGAGTGGTGTTAAATCGGGGCATAAAGATCTGAGTAGAGAGCCCTGGCCAAGATCTAGCCCAGTGATGGGAGCAACAAGCACTGGAGGCTTAATTTTCTGTTTTCTGGATGGTGTGGAGTATGTGGCTGTATTCTTAATTATATGCTGTAATTATTACAGTTAGAAACAACTCCTGGAATAGTCCGTGTAACTTGCTCTGGACCTATATCTCTGGCTGGTTGTTAAAACACTGTTTATCAAGCGATAAGAGCTACATCTACTGATTGCCTGTCACACCCTTTTCCTGCTCAGGAATCTTAGTCAGTGGTATGTAGAATACTAATAGCTAAGAGCTGATACTTGGGATTGATTTTCCTTGATTTTATATTAAATTGTTTAGAAAAGGGAAGTCGAACACCAAGCTTTAATCCACAGGTTCTAGGCTGGTATGTTTGTTTCATATTGTTTTGATTGCTGCATGTTCTGGTGAGCAGCAAAGCCCCTTGACTTAAAGGATGGAATCTGGTTGTCTTGCAGAGGTCAGACCAATGACCTGTTTTTCTTCTGAATTATTTCTTTCCTAAGGTGTCTGAAATACCTGTTTTTCACTATGGAAGATGTATATTCTCTCTTGCTGATGTTTTCAGTCTCCAGGGTAATTTGAACTCCAGTCTGATTAAATTTAATTCTACACAGGTATTTTCTAAGAAATTTTCATATTTTCTTAGACTAGTGAGGAGAAACATCTCAAATGAACAGAATAGGGAATGTATTATTGTGCCTCATTTATATGATATTTCTGAAGGCTGGGGAAATAGTCTCTGTGTGGAGAGGGAATGGCTAATCAGCTATTAATTTACCACTCAAAAAACCTGCCTAAAAGTACTAGCAGAGATGATAGAACCTCTTAGTTCAGCTACTTGACTTGGTTTGATTTTGTAATAAATTTAATTTAAAGGGATGAAGCATATGATGTACAGACACCTAATTTTACCAGGGCGAGTGAATTGTGCTTGATGGCTGAGGATTTACATGCATGGCTTCTGCAAACACAGTCAATGGTTGCTTGGAGATTTGGCCTTTGCAAGCAAGAGCTTGCCCTGTAGTGTGGCTGTATGGATGGCAATGTCCTGCCAGGGCCACCAAATCTGCCTTGGCTGTCAGAGCTGGGGAATGACTGAGCGCCACTGTTCTCAGTGCCCTTCCAGGCTAGGGCATCTTATCACACTTATCATAGCAGTGCACCTTGAGAGGGCAGCCTGGGGAGGTGAAATGTTCTGCAGCCTGAACAAATCAAGTTTTCAGCCTCTGTGAGGAGAGGTGGAAAAAGGAATTCTGCCCTCACAGTGGCATGCTGAAACCCTTGGGTACTGTCCCACTGTTGGAAATGACTGTACAGAATAAGTAAAGTTGTCAGATGTTAAAAAGAATTATTTTAGTTTTAAGTGCTCAAGGTAAGGCTTTTCACCCTCTTAATTTTAAAATAAGCATCTTAAAATGTGCCTAAAGAAACTGAAGTTATGAACTGATTTGTCTTGTTCTTGGTGTGGCAAATAATGACTTCTGGCAGCGTTGACTCCCTGTGTTCTTTGAAGTGTTGGCTGTAACTAGAGAGAACAACTTGGAAACTGATGGACCATTGGTTTGTTCTATTGTGGCAGCTCTCCTTTGTTGCTGTGCAAGATAATCAGCTTCTATCTTATCTTTGCATGCCTGTACCTGGTTCAATTTACTTTGCCTTTGTATAAGTTTGGTTTAATCAGCAATGATTGTCATTGAGTTTGTTCGAATCCCAAGTTGTTTACATAAGCTTGGACTGGCCAGTGGCTGGGATTTGGAAAACTGGTCTCTGGAAACAGGCAAACTCTTAGAAGCATGGCTGCATGTGTGTGCACACAGAGATAGGAAGTGAAGGTAGATAGAATATTCCAGTTGCTTGAATCAGGACTCACAGTAGTCATTTATTAAGGGCAACGTGGTGTTTACGCCACACTCTTTGCATATGTTACGTCGTGAGGAAAAATCGTAACTCCAACTTAAAATCCATTTTTGCTATTGTTTCCAGACATTCTGCAAACATATTTCCAAACCTACTGGTTTATACTTGTGTCAAATGTTGAGGAGGAAAAAAGATCCATAAAAAAATTAGTGTGTGTGTGTGTGCTCACACATGACTTTTCTTTCAGACTGAAAAATGTTGCACATTGAAGTGCTGTGGTTTTGATGGGAACATTTGTATATTTAGAGATTTTTGTAGCTTGGAATCAGACTTCCCGATTATTACTTCTGTTTGTTTTTTTTTTTTAACAAAAGAAAACCTAAATCCTCCAAAGTAAGCATGGCTTTTCCAGGTGGAAAGAAAGCAATATGACTTGATCACAGTCATGT